ATATCAGGCCGTCAGGTGAGCATCCGCCGCCTTAGTTTTTGGGGTGTGTCTCGCACGGCTGGCCCTTGTCACCTGTTTTCCAGTCAATTCAGCATGTTGAATTGGCGCTGGAAACGGCAGAGCCTGTCAGTTAATGAAATCACTCTCTGATTGGCAGTTCAGTTCAGAGAAGAAGAAGAAAAACAGAAGTGAGGAAAGCAAACAAATGGATAAAGTCAAAAAGCCGTGAGATCCAAACAAACTTGTTATATTCATTCATTTAATTATTTTCCGTAACTGCTTATCCTGTCATGCTGGAGCCTATCCCATCTAATACTGAGCGAGAGGCAGGTTACATCCTGGACAGGTCACCAGACTATCACAGGGCTGAACTTGTTATATTCTGTAAGATCCTTTAGCCATTGAGCTCTTTAGCAGAAACTGTTCAGAATTGTTTCTGTTATTGTTTGCTGGTGAATGGTAAACATCATTTCAACAATAGGTTGTGTTGTTAACGTGCTAACTGGCTAACTAGCGTCTTGAATCTGTCCTGTCCCGCAGACTATCTGCTGGTATGGGGAGTTATTTCCTCTCCAGCAGGCACAGAACATATGTGCTAACTGGCTGTCAGCTGTTGTCCTTGCGGCGAGTTCAAGTGCAATTTCTTGGCCGACGCACAGACGGCGTCAGGAGTCACAACAGTGCCACGAGTTCTTTGATGTCGCTTTGGTGTGTCTGGGCCTTAAAAGCAGAGCCAGGTGAGTGACTGCTTATGTTGCTGAAGCGGTCATGTTATTCCCAAAGAAAGGGAAAAGACAGGAAATAAAAGAAAGGGAAAGAAAGCAAACTGACGGAAACCAGAAATGTGAGCACAACTAACGCAGTTCAAGAATGATTTCGCTAATATCAGCAGCTGTTCAGACTGAAGGCAGTCAGGCAGCCGGGAACTGAGCTTAGAGCATATTTGCATTGTGTAATAAAATTAATGGGTATCATAAATTAGCATCATAGCTACAATGCCATAGGCTTTCTCTATTAACAGTCAACACTGGTAAACCTAAACATCATAAACCATCTGGCCCTCAGTTTCAGAAACAGCCAGAGTGAAGCAGCAGCAGCCTGTCCCTCAATATCTCCCGTCAATGTTACTGAGGCTGTGAAACAAGGGGAGCTCAAGAAAAAGCTGCTGAAAGCTACTACAAGCAACCATTTGACATTAAGGTGTCGCGGATGGCGAGGTTAAGACAGTTTAACTTTGAAACAATATTTAGCCCCTTTCCTAGTAAACTAGTATGACATGTTTGGTATCACAGGAATCTTTTTAATCTTAAGATTCATGATACCTCTGTGGAGAAATGCAGATGACCTTAATGTATACTTTAGTCTTAAAAACATATACGTATTACCGAATATAAACCATATGACATTAACACTCAATATTCAAAGAATAATTACAGCTATCGTGGTTTTGGATGAGCTAAAAAAACTTTCAACTACCTAAACAATACAGTCAGTTCTGTGCAAACATTGTCATTCAACTTCCTCCAAACACTTATTTCCTCTTCCTGCAGGCACAGACACACTAACATCCAGTGTGTGAAAATAAAGCAGGACAACAATGTTACTTTGACACAGCCGAGCAACTTCAGTTCACCAAACAAACTCCTGCAGACACACACAGTCACCGAGAAACCCACACTTAGACAACAATCACTTTACACTATATATCATTGCATTAATATTTCAGGAGCTCGGCCTCTCAAGTGAGTGTCTGTAAATAGATTTTCTCTGCATTATTAAACCCTGCTACTTCAGGACAGCACTGACACTAGCCTTCAAATTGAGATATCTATCCACAGTATGTTATCATCTGTACTGGTATTTTACGGGGGTTAACGGACAGAGCCAAACCAGCCCAGACGCCAGAGGAAATGCTGGCATTGTGCATTACTGCAAACCACAGATATGCTACATTGGTTCGCTTTATACCTAACATATCAACGTTTCTAAAGCGGTGCAGTATATGAGCTGACTTTGTCATCAGGAGGTAGTGGGGATGGAGATGGCGTGACACCTAGGCGAGACGCCTGCCAAGCTGCAGACCACTGTTTACAGACCAGCAAACAACAAAACCGCATTTTTTTTAAGTAAGTCATCACCGCATCTTCCTGTTTAGTGACCACACATGGGTGTTTTTTAATGATCCCTTGCTGTGTTTCCACCAGGGATAACCCAGTGAAAAGGTTTTTTTTTACCGTAACATCTCTGTGGTTCCTGCTGGGATAGTGCCACGAAAAGCAGTTGTGTTTTACGGAGACATCACTGCACTTTAAACCAGGATTGTGCCACCAACACCGGGTACATTAAACCAAGACACAACTTTATCCTAACCATAAGCAAGTGGTTTTCTGGCTAAACCTAAGCACTTGTTGAACATAAAGTTTCAATGTATCTGCTAGGGTTCAACCAAATACTCGTATGAAGTCAGTATCCAGAGTATCATTCGAGTACTCTGGATGAAGCAAAATCCTCATTTGTGTAGCTGTGTTCAATCTTTTAATCCTATGATAAAAACAATCAGTAGCTCAATCCTGAGATTGTTCTGTAAACCGTTTTCTAATAATAATTAATACATCAACTTCTGATCAACCCATATCAATATCAGGTTTAAAATAACCTCCAGTCAGACACCACACTTTTTCTTTTTACACCCCACACACTTGCGGTTTAAACTCCACCCAAAATGAGTATGGATACAGATAATTTAGTTGGTTGAGCAAATACAGAAAAAGGTGTACTCTCTCATCTACTACATATGGATACCTACTGGTTTTCACGTACAACGTTTATTCTGGCAGCTGGGTTGGCCATACTAACCCTCCAAGTGTTAGGAGAGGTAAGGACCTCTAAATGCAGACAAACTCATCCAGCAGAGTAACTGTCAGTTCTCGCTCCAAGTTAAGTCTTGTCTTAGCTCATTTAAAGTATTTAACTTTGTATGGGTTTGTGGAATTATTGACCGCACTGTCTGTTTGTGATTACATAACCTCACAAAATGGGAATCTTGGCCTGATGTCCAAAACCAGGATGAGGATTAGAGTGGTGAAAGCTGCGGCAGTGCTGAGACTGTCGAGAGGGACTGTGAGTCCAAGTAGAACGAGGGATGAAAAAAAAGAAAGTCAGGAGAGAGATCGAGAGGGAGGGGGGGTGAGCTGATTCCCCTGATTTGAACTTGAGCGTACACACAAAAAGTCAAACAAGGCCAGTGTCTGCTCTATGCTCAGGCACTCAATTACTTTCTGCCTTTTTTTTGTATTGACTGCATACACATGGAAAGGAAAATATCAATTAAAACCCTATGTTACATTCAGTGCTTCTCACCATAATCAAGTGTGTGTATCCTTGCAGTTGTTTTAATCCTGTTAAATGTATTTTCCCAGCCCAGTTGTCAAAAGAAAAAGTAGAAACACTTTACATATGTACATCTCATACTATTATATCAACATTTCTAAAGTGACATAGTATATGAGCAGGGGGTGGAGGGGAAATGGATGGCATATCACCTAAGAGAGATGCCTGCAAAGCTGCCAACAAATGCTTGAGACCATCAAACAACAAAACCGGCTGTGTTTGAACAAATCATTGCCATGTTTCCAGCAGCTTTTAAGCCACCAAACATGCATGTTTCTTTCCATCGCTGCTTTCACAGAGAGGATAGTGCCATCAAAACAGATTATTTTAAGCCAAAACATGATCTTTTCCTAACCATAACCACATGGTTTTCATTAACCACAGCATTGTTGAAACTTTAAGAAACATAAAGATCAAACGTATCCGCTACATAATGATGTACAAATGGCTTCAATTTGAATTTCTTTTCCTCTAGTCCCAACAGCAGGTTCACATTTTGTTTTTTAGTTAAATGTCTCAACAATTGGATTAACTGAATATAAATTTGGTAACATTACAGACATTTAAGTTCCCTTCTCTCGATGGCTTGTACAAACTTTGGCAATCCCCTGACTTTTCATCTACAGTAGCGCCATCATCAGGTCAACATTTTTTTGTCCAATACTTTGGTTTGTGACCAAATACCTCCAAAAACCTCAGCAATAAAAGAGATGATGAGTATGGTAAACATTATGCCTGCTAAACTTCAACATGTTTGCGTTTTTACAGTGTAGCGTGCATGTTAACATGTGGATGTTAGCATTTAGCTCCAAGCACCACGATGCCTTGTGGTCCCTAGTATGCCTAGTACAGCCTCACAGAGCCACTCATGGGTCTGTAAACTCTTAGTCATGTTCAGGAATTTTCGAGAAGTGATTCCTGCAAATGTTGCTCAAGTCCGATCATGTAACAAGAAAATGAGACACTTCATTGTGGGGAAAGTTGATTTAAATTGGAAACAGATGACATAATCTCAGAAAAAGAGATAACCTTGAAAAAAGGAGGCAGTTGCTGAAATCATAAAGTTTCATTTAATCTAATTTGCTGGCAGGACATCCAGCTGAACCTCAGGACAGCAGACCAGTTTTCTTTTCACTAAATTTTCCCCCAAAACACTCTATGAGTCTGTGCACATCACTGCATGTCACAGCCGTGCACCAACATGTTTAAACTCATCTGTCAAGGTCATAAAAGCAGGTCAGTAGTGACATTGTTGTCACTACAGGGTCCAGCATTATTTATGAGCGAGAAGTGTTGTTGCCTTGTTTTGGGGAAACTGGTGAAATCGACACAGAGACAGAGAGTCCTGTGTGAAGGATTTCCATGTGCTGTGAGGAAGTATTACTGTCCAGTGGATCGCTCATTGAACAATGTTCCTTTTTTCTGTGCAACCTCACCCCAACTGAACTTCCAGCCCTGCGCAGTCCTCACATGCTCTCTCTTTCTGCGTATTACATAACAATCCTCTTTTCCATTTACACTATCAACTGGCATTCAAATGACTCACTCTGTGCAGTGCTTTACGTTCATCATCTACAAAACATGGTTATAAAATGTATAAATTAACTCACCGCTGCAGTGAAACCGTGTTGAGCTTCTTTTGTTTTTACACAGTGAGGCCAACAGTATCTGAAAACAGAGAAAATACAGAGTGAGTGACATTACACATGCTCACATGTTTATTCTTTGACAGGTGTGTCTGAAAACCTAATGTTGTGACAGAAAGAAAACTATAACTGTATTAAGTGTTTGAAGAGAAACAAAAGACTGCATGTACTAAACATATTTTTCCATGCAGCTGAGTTACCCGGAACTCTGGTTATGGGTGCTCACCTGCAAAGAGCAGCTGAGGACAACTCAACTCACCATGACTGCTGTCTACACAGGCAATTTTAAACTGGATGACCTGATTGAACAGTGATGTAAACAACAAGGGAAGAAAACAGAGAGCTATTAATACACAAGGTGTTAAATGGGCGAGAAATGACCTTCACAGTATTAAATTGCAAGAAAAATGTTTTCTTCTGCATGTAATTTATGCTCAGTAAAAAACTGATTAAACTGTAAAATGTTAATAATAACCAAGCCCCGCACAGCTGCTGAAGGGTAGGGCTGGGTGGTGTGTCCTGAAAATTATATCATGATATTTTTAGGCTATATCTCGATCCACGATTCACATCTTGATATTCTTAAATCTCCTCGAAGGCACTTCATTATGCTAGGACTAGGAGACAAAATCAAACATAACAATATTTCTGACAAAGAAATACCCTCTCTGATGTGGCAACATGCCAGAGATTACTTTTTTTTTTTTTTTTTTTTTTAGAAAATATTAACATATTGAGATTTTTGATCATTTTTGATCCCCTCATCAATAATGTGGATATAATGACTAAGCAGGTTAAGGCAAGCATTAAAACCATTAGAGTAGTAAAGAGTAGTATTGTTTGACAATTCAGTACCCAAATAAAAATGTATCAGACTGAGTCAAACATGTTGCATGACTTAGTATGATTACTGTGAAATCTTGATGTTTCCTCTGTCATCAGGTCAAGATTTCACTTTAACCAATACTTGGGTTCTTGACTAATTTACCTGAGAACTAATGCCATTCCCTTCAGCCTCGGTGCTTTATGTTTAGTGCTAATTGGCAAAATGCTAACATGCTAAATGGTAACATAAACGTTAACGTTACATGGCTAACATAAGCATGTGAACATAGTCCATGAAGATGTTAGCATCATTACATTAGTATACAGCTCAAACCAGTGACGTGCTAAAGTAGAGCCTCGCAGTTGCTAGCATGATTGTGCAGGAAGCAAAGGGGTTGTATTTTGTCCCTTGATGAATGAACTGTGGTAAACTGTGAACCCATATCTCCCTGCTGATCTCAAATTTTCGCTGGCTTTGGCACAGATCTCTCAAACTCAGTTCAAACTCCAATAAATCTGTAAAAACAGGCAGTGCTGATTAAATATAAACCAATATTCCGTTACTCTGTTGCTTATTTCTAAACTAAACTGTCTTCGGAAACATATTTTAGTGCACAGTTTGGCAGTAATATGACATTTGTGAACAAGATGGCGCCACACTGTTTAATGTTACTGTGTAAATGGAGGTTGTAAAACTCAAATCAAATGGTAAAACTGAGCAGTGCTGATAAAATAAACCAAATTGTGTTTGCTGTGTTCTCTACTTCTCGCCTACAATGTTTTCAGAGACATATTTTAGCTTACCGTTTAGTCGAATTCATTGGTTATTAGCCGCCATTTTGTTTCCTGTAGAAAAAAACGGCTAAGCTCGCACTGCATCATCAACCAGCGGCGCAATGCATTCTGGTAGTTGTAGGTTCTCTACCTCTTGAGCGAAATCAAATGTTACAGCCCCTATTTCTCTATTTTCTCCGGTTATATTGCATTAATTTCAAAAGTATTTGGGTTTTTCTATAAAATGGACAGCCTAGTTTTATGAAAAGAACATCTTTTCAGCAGTGAAATGCTTTTTAGTAATATTAAAATGTTTATGGTGTATTTGGTCAAATTAATTTAATGGTTAGGCTAAATATGATTACCATTTTAGAATTAATTCAGATTTACACAAAATGCCAAAAATAGAACTGCACCCATTTATGCAACACTTTGGTCATGCACGCTTCATATAAAGTTGATTTAGCCTATAACAATAATAGTTGCACGTGCCAGATGTAAAATAGGATCCATAGCCATGTTGATATTTGTATTTCCTGTTTCCTTCATATACAGAGGGAGCAAGATAAAGGCTAATGTTCACCTTACAGTGAATTTTGTTGTCACTGGTGTGAACCTGACTACAGGTTGTCTGAGTTGAAATTCCAGTGGCCACCTAAGGTCAAGTACAGAATTCCTTTTTATGACAGAGGCGATTATTGGCTGATTATCTGACACATCCCGTGTCCTTCTTGAGATATAAGTAGCCTACTCCTGTGGCAGGTCAGACAAGCATTATTTTCTGCCAGCCACTGTTTTTGCTTCACTACCCAGTTATTTGCTAAATTGTGTGTGTTCACATAGTTTATTTATTGATCTAAGCCTCGTTAATGACGTAGCCTACCTGTAGGCTAATAAAGTCATTAGATACTATTTGCAGAACCAGTCAGGACTTCTTGCTGTCTGGTTTTGTTGCGGTTCACTCTGCTGGTTTGACTCAGCTGGTTGCCCGTTGGGAGGAGGAGGAGGAGGAGGAGGAGGAGGAGGAGGGGTGGGGTCACCCGGGGTGAGAATCCGACCCAGGCTGAACCGGTGAGCGGGGAGAGGAGAGATGCGGAGCTGTTGAGGAGCAGAAACATCCAGACGACCTGTGAAGCTGAACATGTCTCCTCTCTGAGTTTTCAGCAGCTGTTTGATTTGTAGGTAAGATCTCTTTTATGTTTCCTTAGATTTATCACGCATTTAACACTTTATCATGATTACAGGAAATGTGCTGTCAAGTTTCTGAATTATTTGTTTACTTTATCATCTCATATCAGATGACATAACACGGGTTTTTTTTCTATGGGATGTAGAGTACTTGAATGTAAACAATAGCTATTCAGGGCACATATCTGTTAAAAATTAATAAATAGATGTTGGAAGGGATAAATGTAAACACCTGGATATGGTAACAGGGTAGCACCAGGCTTAATTCATGATAATAATTAATAATCTTTTTAATAAAACTTTAAAAACGAGAGATTTATATAAAAGGAATAATAAAATATTTTAGATTTTTCAAATGTGTGCTTTTTTCTCTCTTAATGAGCTGTTTATGGTGATTTGATTGCTAAGATAATTAAAATGTCACTGTTGAAATGTAAATAAAATGACTAACATAAATGAGTTTTTGTATCCAGACTATTATTATGACTCTGTATGAATGTAGTGTTATCCCACTGTTATAAATGTAAGTGGTTGTTTAATATGTTGGGTAGTTTTTTATTACTCTAAAGTCTCTTCCTGTTGTTATAAACATTACAGCATTTAACTGGCAGCAGTATAATATAGATTCATTGTTTTGCAGCCATGTAAACAAATGGTCACCTCACCACATGTGTTTGTGTTCTTCCACCACTAGCTGGTGCCATTACAGCACACTTCACCCCGAGCCACCACCCTGCTCACACACTTCACAGCTCCCTCCAGTGACAAACCAGTGTTGGAACATGACGGGTCAGACTGTGGAAGGCATCACCCAGGACCTGTCAGCGTCCTCACTGCTGGCTGCAGAGGGACCAGGGTCCAGGCCTCTGGAACGGGCTGTATCCTTCACTGATGAGGCTGTTTCCATCCTGGCCTCCACAAGCCAGCTGGCTCAAACCCTCCTCAGTCACACTTTCACCCTCAAACGCAAAGCAAGCCTTACCAACACTGAAGCAAAGGCTGGTAGCAGCTGTGATGAAGACAGCAGCAGCAGTATACGCCGCAGACGAGAGTTCATCCCTGAGGAAAAGAAAGATGACGGCTATTGGGACAGGAGGAAAAAAAACAATGAGGCAGCCAAGCGGTCCAGAGAGAAGCGGCGAGCCAATGATATGGTGGTAGAGAGACGACTCCTGGGCCTGCTGGAGGAGAACGCCCGCCTGAGGGCCGAGCTGTTGGCTCTGAAGTTTCGCTTCGGCCTGGTCAAGGACCCATCTGATGTTTCCATCCTCCTTCCGTCCCCAGCACCCACTACAACACATCACTACCAGCCAAACACTGATGGATCCTCATACGCCAACACACCACACAACACCCACAATGTCCACCCTCACCCTCCACAGCAGGGTGCCATCTATGGACCGAGAGGAGCTGGGCCTTTGCCAAGTCATAGTGTACCCGGGGAGTCCAGTGTCTCCACCTCATGTAGCTCAAATGTGAACAGCCCCGTGTTTTATGACGACACACTGAGTGAGCGAAGTGGCCCCTCTCCAAGGGAGCTGGTGGAGGAGCAGCGGAGCTATGAACCCCACATCCTTTCACTGGAGGTCAATGAAAGTCAGTACACTAACAGACGAGATTCAACAGATTGTTTGAAAAGCCTCCCGCACAAGCTCCGCTTCAAAGGGCCTGCTGGTTGCAGTGATGGAGGAGAAATGTCTCCATCCTCTGATACTAGACATGGCGGACCACCTGTAGCCACAGTGTGGCCAAACATCCAGGTGAGGAACCACCAGCAGGCAGGATGGGACAGTCACACAGAAAGTCAGGCTCCATGGTCCAGTGAGGAGGCCTGTGGTGGACTTGAGCAGCAGTATCAGGGTCCGTCCTCTGGACATTATAACTCCTCCTCTCTGCAGAACTCTGGAGATACCAAGAATGCGACAGAGGACGTTAGTATCAGGTCTCAGATCAGCTGTTTGTCTCAGGAAGTGGCTCAGCTCAAGAGGCTCCTCTCTGAGCAGATGCTCTCCAAGATCGCTTAAAGCCTGAGCACAAGGACTAAAGTTAGTAGACCGATTTCACACTACATCTTTACATCGATCTCATATACTGCTGACCTCTGCAGGACAGCCTCGGTGTGGACAGCTACCTCTGGACCTTATTTACAACCCTGTTTCACTGGAAAGGCTCAGTTTAGGAGCTTGTTTGTCCTGTGATGGTCAGCACACCACTACCAGAAAACACCAACACATTTAACTTTTGAAATACTTTAGATTAATGCTTAGGCAAAAGTGATTTCTGTGATTTCTGTGTGAGTCATCACATGTCCTTTGGCAATGTTGATTTCCTGACATTAGGAAGATGCTGTACATTTTTGAATACTTGATTGAACAGGTCTGTCACGAACACTGGATGTGAACATGTCAGACACAACACAAAGCACACAGTTAGAGTTTGTAACACTTTATACTCGTCATGTTCGTTTGAGTCATGTGAAATGCCATTTCTGTCTGTGTGACAACATACAGTGTGTAGGCTTTTCAGCACAAATACTGTAGTATCAGTATTATGTGCTGACCCAAAGAGGAAGAAAAATGACTTTGACACTTTGTTTTGCCGTGAAATTGTTTTGTGACTTTGTATTGTTTACTGTATCTGATTTATGTTATAACAGCAAGGTACATACAACTTTATAGTTAATCTTTCCATCATCTCATTGCACTAACCAGACCGCCGGTATTTGTTTTCACCTTGTTAATCTATTTGTGTCATGGATGTATAAAGAGAACTGGATACAGCTTTGGAGACAGGGCCCCGTTCAAGCCTACAAAGGTTGCTCAGTGGCACATGAAGCCAAAAAGGTTTAACTGCCGTGTATAAAATTATGTGGCCCATAGAGCAGGCACACTAGAGACTTAGCTCTGGTTTAGCACTCTGCTAACTTGATTGGGGTTAAAAATGATCCAACCGTGTGGCTCTTCTAGGCTTTTTAAATGTTATCAGAACATATAAACCAAAGTCTGATAGTGAAACATCATTTTGCAGGGGTTGTGAAGCTCAAAAATTTTATCCACTGATCTACAAATGTCTCTTTTGCAATTAAAGTCTGTAGGTAAAAGTCTTTTGCGGCCTCATGGCATCACATGACAGATGATATTCTGCTGTTGTTCAAAGCCTACCGCACTTCCTGTAGGCCTTGTGTATGAATGTGTGTCATCATGGCATATTGTGGTCCTGATGACACCTATTGTAGCAGTATTCACAAAACTTTACAGTCGTGTAGATGAGATCAAAATTAAGGGCAGAGATTGAAGAAGGGTTTGGTCTGAGCAAGAGGGCTAAAAGTAGAGGGGGTAGGAAGTATGTAAGGGTCCATTGGCCCCGCCACTTTATATCCCTGGCTCACATTTAAGTTGAGGATCACTGTATCACGGCTGGAGTGATCCCATCGCAACATGGTCTCTAGTTAAGAACTATAGTTGAAGTAAACGGTACTTGAAATATTTTATAGAAACGACTGGTAAATCTTTATTGACAGTTTTTTTTCAATGCATTTAGTTTCACTGTTTGAGCAGAGAATACAGTATAAAGAATGTGAAATCATGCCGTGTGAGGCTGGGGTGCCATCTTTGAGGTACGTGCTTTGTTACTTCTTTTACCAAAGTGTGTGCATTCAATCCAAAAACGAGACAGCTTGCAGTATCCATGTATGTGAGCAGAGGTTGGGGTCTGTAATCCCCCTGGAGTGCCAAGTCATATGAATCTATGTAGTCCATTAGTTTGTCCAAAGACAGTTGTGTAAGCATGGACCTCACAAGATGGCACCCCATTTCGAAACATTTAACAAGGCACAATGTGAACTTCACATCCTTTGTACGCTGTCTTTGAGATTGTATGGCTTTATTATTTCTATTAATGATGCAAAATCATCACGTGAAACGAGTGTGACAGTTAAAGTGATACAATTTCTCAAATTGAAAACAGTGCTGTTTTGTTTCTGTTCTAAAGGCCCGACATAATTTTAACGACACAGCCACAAGCATGTATCATGCAAGAGAGTCTTTAATCTTTTCTTTGACTGCATTTTGCATTACATCACAGGCCAAGAGAGGCTGAAGAAAGAGCTAACCCAGCTGGGGCAGAGAGAGCAGTGGTAGGTGTGGCGCTAGTGGGGAGAGGTGCACTGCGCAAGAGTGTGGACATGTCACAAATTTCATTTTCAGCTGATATCTGAATTTCATGTACGGCCTCCCTTCCTTTAATAAATGCTTTTGAACTGTTGAAACCACCCTGGTGTCTGTCCACCTTCACTGAACTAAGGTTGGTAAAATAAAGGGGGGGCATTGGGGTGTTGGACAGTGCCAGGGAGAGGGGAGTGGTGTACGGATGCAGGGAGAGGAGTGAGACTCTGCATGAGTCATCTATCACGTCAGCAGTATGAAAGCTATTTTTAGCATTGAAGCAGCTGCGGTGGAGACTGATTGGCCCATATGGAAGTGAAGGATACAGGTTCAGAATACATTATCACCTGGAAAGAGTACAAATGTGCAGATAGGCATCAGAAGAGCTGCTGTGAAATGCATGCAGATATGGTTTGGGGCAGCCAGAGAGCTTCAATACTCTGCATTATTAACTGTATTCTGAAAATATGATTAACTTGACTGAGTGCCATTATTCTGCATTACAGTAACATATCCTTGAATAGTTCCATTTTCAGTGCTCATTTATTTATCAACACCAGGTGGCGCCACATGTCTTTATCAGCATTGGCTCATTCATTCACTCATTCATTCACAGTGGTGTTACTACAGAGGTCATCTCCTCCATTGTGCTTGCAGTGGTACCACATGCTGCAAATGCAGAACAAGCAAGCATGTCATTTTGTGTTTGAAGCACAACACACCAACCTTCAACTGACCCATCTTTATTTAAAACAGCACAAAGCAAGAAAGGAGCTGAAGCTCTAAAATAACATTTACACGACCCCCACAAATTGATTATAACGCTGACATACGAGGTTTACCACAGCTGCAGAGGCTCCGCCTCTACGCTTCGGCCCTGACGACAACAACACGAGTTACACATGAGATCTTTTGTCTGCAATCAATCTTCATCCAGCCCAGTCTGCAAACCCCCATGCCACGAGCCATATAGGAAGGAGTGAGAGCCTTCTGGTTGCTAGGCAGGCACCACCACACCACAGTTGCCAAGGGAATGCCTGCATGCAGAGGCAGCTGAAGAGATGGAGGAGTGTGTTGGGGGTTGGTTGGTGGTTGTAAGAGAAGACTGGTGGGGGTGGAGCTAGACAAGTTCAAGGCCACCGTTTCCCCAACATGGTCTAATGGTGGTGGTGGTGGTGGTAATGTGTGTGTGTGTGTGTGTGTGTGTGTGTGTGTGTGTGCGGTGAATGAGTGCACGTGTGTGGTTTGAGACAAAGCAGGGGGAAGGGATGTGAGTGAGAAAGTGGGTTGGAAGTGGATATGTGTCTGATACCAAACAGGGCTGACGTAACTGCTCATGAAATATAGTGGTGGTGAGGACAACAGGCTTTATGGGATAATACAAAAGCTCATAAGCAGATAATACACGTCCATTTCCAGTAAAGATAAACAAAATGATGAAAAAATGCTGAAACTAAAAAACAAAACACTGGTATAATAATTCATGTTTATTGTTGTTAAGGAGGTCTGTTGTTTTCTATTATGCTCAATTTTATCGGCCATGGACTGTGAAGTGATGAAGTGCATCTTTACTGTTTTTCTGAATAAATAAATAAAAATCTGAACAATTCTGTAACACTAGCAAGATTGGTTTTGTTTATTTGCACATACATGTGTATAAAAAAGAATTTAAAGAGTAAGCTGAAAATGGCTTATGAAGATATCTCCCCTCTTGAATAACAATAGTCATACTTAAAAAATTAAAATAAAAACAAAAAAAATTGATAGAAATGTACAAAATTGAATATACAGGTTAAGATGGTTGCAAGGGAATCAATGAAATGTTAAAAATCTCAGCAAATTAGTCTTTTTCAAATGACAATGTAGATGTTGAGTGTAAGAAAGAAACAGAATCTCTTGTGATTAGAAATAGGATCCAGTATTTATCATTTCTACTGTCATTTATATATATATATATATATATATACATACATATATATATATATATACACACACATTTAAAAATAGGCCAATGTTTTAAGAATAATAACACACTAAATACCTTAATGTATAAACAAAGGGTTAAACTCTGCTGTCTGCCTCTGCAAACACAACTCATCTAACATGCTCTGATCTGATCAGATTGACACTCGCAGTCTGAAGCTATCAGGAAGCATTTCTCCACTATATGAGTGTTACGTAACACAAAATGAACACAATCAGAAATGGACAGCGACTGTCAAAACTAAAATGTTTCCTCATGATGCAACTGATAGTGAACATGCTTTATAATAATGTATGTAACAGTGTAGTAAATGGGTTGAAGAGGACGTGTATTATAACTGTTACGTCACACACTCTGCATGTCTCAGTGTTCCCATGACCTACATCCTGTCCGTCTGCAGACTATGACAGTGGGCTGACACATATTCCTACTTTCCCACTTATGAAGCAACAGTAAGAAGCATCACCTAATAACACATTTACACTGATATGTAACAGATACACAAGTGTTGTGCAGTTTTTGAAACTGGTTCAGTATTGAGAGAGGGCTGCAGCCTGCAGCGGTGAAACAGGCTGCAATGTTACCACTCTGGGCTGGTGCATCCTGTTAATTTCCGTCCACTGAAAGTGCTTGTTTTTGCCTCTGACAGGATCAGATTGCTATTACCATTGTCTTACAACATGATGTAAAGGAACCTTCAGAGAAATTAAATATTTTTCCGTAGCTTTTGCTTGTTCCGGTCTGTTTTGTGTCCAAGTCTCGCTAACAAGAAGTCTCATTCGGAAATCTCACAGATTTTTTCACTCCGTCAAAATCTTCTGATGACATTTAAAAATCTTTTTGAATAAGAGTAAGATACGCTTTATGTACTCCTAAACAACAAACTATTACCGGCACTCCTCTCTCTAACTCTAACGTTACCACTGTCACCTCTTGTGAGATTTCAGAAGGAGACTTCTCATGGGGGGGCGGCTGTGGCTCAGAGGTAGAGCGGGTTGTCCACTAATCAGAAGACACTCGATTTGATGTCCGGTTTCTCTAGTCCACATGCTGAAGTATCCTTGGGCAAGATACTGAACCCCACTTTGCTCCCGATGGCTGTTACATTGGTGTGTGAATGGTTACTGGGTACAGGTGGCACCATGTATGGTTGCCACCAGTGTGTGAATGTGTGTGTGAATGGGTGAATGTGACATGTAGTGTAAAAAGTGCAGACAGAACGACAAGGACAGTTTCATGGTGATATCTATTAGTTAAAAATGTTGAACCTATTCACCTGTAGTGTCCTTTATTGTCTAAAAATGTGTGGAATTTTACAATACATATCTTTAACGGTCATTTTCTCCAAGTGAGTTATTTTCTCATACTCCCAGACAGAAATCTCCACTTCAGCAACCCTTCTACACACCAAACTCCCGAGTTTTATTCCTGTCTGTATTCTGAAGGTTTTCACCGAAGGGTTTGTTCATTTATCATTCATAGCCTGGTTTATGTAACATTTTATGTCTAAAACTTGACAGAAATTGATTTTTTTAATCACTGTTGACAGTGTTTTCTGATTTATGGAGTGATAAAAAGTAATATCCAAAATCCCCTCGGTGATAACCTTTGACTGTGATATGTCAACAAAATGAAACAGTAACATTTCACCTGGCTTTATCCAATGTATGCAAATTAGAGCATATTTAATTAGATAATGCATCATTTGCATATTTAAATATAAAATCTAAGAAAGTAGAAATTTAATTGTCTTAATGTAGGCTAAATAATCAGCTGGGAAAGTTTCATGGTGATATTTATTTGTTAAATAAATTCCCTATTTACCTGTAGTGTCTCATCTTTTGTCTAAAAACACATTCAATTTAACAGTACAAAATAAGTTTTTTCTTACAGCCTTCTTTGAGCCAGAAATCACCATTTCAGTCACACTCACATACATAAAATGTTTCACTTTTTCCTGTCTATACTCACCAAGGGGTTTTCATTTATCATTCATAGCCTGAATATAACATTTTATTCCACAAAACATAGAGGAAAGAGGTGTTTTATGGCTGTTGACAGTGTTTTCTGATTTATGATGCAATAAAAAATACATATCCAAAATCCCCTCTGTAAAAAACTTTGACTCTAACATGTCACCAAAATGAAACATGAAATTTGAACCTTCTTTATCCAGTGTTCAGATTTGTGCTCTGGAAATGTACACAAATAAGTGCATATTTAATTATATAATTTATAATTTGTGTATTTAAAGATACATTTTTGGAAAACTTGCAATGCAAAAGAATAATTTCCCTAATCTTAGTAATCTACAGGGGAAGTTTCATGGTGAAATCTACATCTTAGAAATGTTAGGGGAGACTGGGGTTGGTTGTCCCAGTGCTTATTACAGCCACACTAGAGGGCACTGTGACATTGACTTGATATCAAACAGTTAGCCTGACATCCTGCTAATTTTGCACAGGTCATTTTGTGGAACACACGCAAAACATTGAGGTGAGGAGGTTGGTGTTGTTTTTGTATTAAATGATTGTAGGTTATTAGTCATTTAAAAATTAAACATTTATTAAAAAGTTGAAGGTAATAGCCAGGGCCGCCCCTCCCTAAACGCAGAACATGCGCTGTGTGTAGGGCCTCATCTTCCATGGAGGGCCACACTTTGCGCGAGGGGACGCATTTGCGCATATGCGCAATGGATGCGCACATGCGCTACCGTGAAGCGCGCGTAGAATCAGCTCGAGGAAGGAGAGAAGAGACCTGACCGCCCATGTGTCGCTGCAATGATTGACAGCACTCGACATCTGAACAATCAGAGGTGTGCGCCGGCAGGCACTTGCAGAGCTGCAGCAGGTGAAGAGTTGTCGACATGTCGACTTATTTCAGTTTGAAGTTATTTTTATTTAATATTTATTTATTTATTTATTTCAGGTTGAATTTTTTATTTTATTTGACTCATACAGCCAAACTACTGTATCTACAGTTCATTTGTTATTGCCAATAAAGGTTGTCAAGTTAAATGGCAAGTTGTTGTACGGTCATTTTGTACCTATGATACATTTGGGATGGGGGCCTCCAAATAAAATTTTGCTTAGGGCCCCAATTTGGTCAGGGGCAGCCCTGGTAATAGCTGCAATTTGAGTCAGCTTTTAGCTAGCAAGCTAAAACCATGTGGTAGCTAGTCAAGAGATCATTTGGGGATGGTTGTCACAATAGCTGTGTCACAATCCAGGGGCTGCAGCCTTTGAAGGATGCGATCATCCAGTCGACATTGGCCACGACCTTTGAAGGAAATCATCATCAGCCAAATCTAATGGTTTCCAAAATTGCACAGTCTGGTCTGTGGAGAATTTCCAGGGTGCATCAGCAGTTGTCCCTGCCCCGACCCATTGGCATTACTGTAACCTAGCAACCAGCTGCACTTGATGAAATTAGGAGTAAGCTAGCTAGCCCTAAATCATGGACCCAGAGATTGTTATTATAAATATATATTTTTAATTTAATACTTGAGGAGATGATTCACCGCCGGAGACGACACCATTTGCTGTATTTCAGGCTGATGGACCGTTTTCAGGTAAACGTATTAAATTAAAATTGTTTTAGCTGTGTGCTTTTAGCTAATACATTTAACTGGTAGCTAGTTAAAAACTGTTAGTTAATTTAATTTAATATTGTCACCAGCGCACAATGCATCTTGGGATAGGCTTGGCCATGAAGGATTCATCTGTTGCATCCTCTGAATTCTGGGACAGAAGGCTGCAATTGAAGGAGCCTTCGAAATGGGACCGCCTTGGTGATGCAATTGGTCTTCAAATGCATGCATGGAAGGCTGCAGCCACTGAATTGAGACACAGCTAATGCGCCAGAGTGTCTCTGATGGTTGATTACTTCTTGTTGCAATGAGTTGTAAAAATGAAAGGGGTAAACATTTCAAGCCAAGATCTTAAGCTTTCATTTAATGTGGGAACTACTACTGAAAGATGTTTTGATGATGAACAATTCACACAAGAGTGAAAAGTGTGTCAACCAACCCCGGTCTCCCCTAACCTTAATGACCTTTGTGCAAAAATAAATTCTGATGTAATTTTAAAAATAGATTCAACTCTTTGTGCTATTTCTACAGTGGGCAACATCAAAACAGAGGCATCATAAAATTACAGAAAAGGCAAAAGGATATTTTAAAGTATTTTGAACATCTTCCAGCTGTTGATAGTGAGGTCAAGTCCAAAGTTGTACCTGTAGAAGTATTCAGGACTATTTTTTTTGTCTTTGCTTCATTAATAAGGAGCAGATATATATTATACATATATGTTAATAAGAGAACACAGTGACTGCACATTTGAAGGACATGCTGTTACATGCTATTATTGGACCTCTCAGTGGAACATGGTGTCTGTGTAAAACGCATTCATGCCCATGTTATAAACTTAACCACTCCCGTGGAAGAGATGGTGTTACGTGGTGGAGAAGGACTCTAGATGGAGGGGGCAAAAGAGAGGGACTTATAACAGAGAGAGGGAGAGAGAAGCTCTTGCGCGGAGAGATAGAGGACAAAAACGTGACTAGGCAGCCGAAGAGCTGTTACGCAACCGCTGACCTACTAACACATATTTCTAGAAAGGGAG